CATTGCAAACTATAGTCACATGATTGTGGAATGCTGCAACAAATTGTAAAATTGACCCGCCCGACATGTGGTCATGTGAGATGCCAGCACAACAATTGATGATGGTCAGAGTTTTTTTATGGGCTGTAAATCACCTGTTTCATGACCGTTGTAACTCTGAACAGTCATAAAATGAGGACTACCTATACATGGGGCTGCCCTTGAAGACTCTCTGGAAGCTACACCTGATTCAAAATGCAACAGCACAAACTGCAATAGGGGGCCTTTGTGTGTGCCCCATTTATTACCCTTGCTATGTGAACTGCATTGGCTGCTAGTTGGTTTCTCCTGTGTTTTCCCCAAAATAAGACCCAACCGGAAAATAAACCTTAGCATGATTTGTCAGTATATAAGCTCCACCCTAAAAATAACAACCAGTTAAGATCGTCAGCCAGACGGACGCATTTAGTACCATATTTCCCTGAACATAAGCTCTAACCAGAAAATAATCCCTAATGCATCTTTTGGAGCAAAAAATTAATATAAGATCCTGTCTTATTTTCAGGGAAACATGGTAAGTACAATTCAAGGTATTGGGTATTACCTATAAAAGCCCTGTTACGTTACAGGGCCTGAATATCTGAGTGATAGCTTTTTTTCCAATCGTTTCTGCCCACAAAATACATTCTGACAGAGTGGGTGTGCTCCTTCCATTAAATATTGTCATCCTGTGACACCAAGGCAGTATGCCTTAATAATAATAATAATAATAATAATAATAATAATAATAATAATAATAATAATAATAATAATAATACAGCTAGCACAAGCATTAAAAGATGCAAATACTGCAATAGCAAGTATAAGCACCAATTCACTGCAAGAAACAAACCAATTAATGTACAGCACAGCTGCAGTTATAACAGAATACCTGGGATGTAAAATCAACAAAAAAGAAAAACAAACAAACAATGCACCAGAAAAATGGAAGGTTAGACTAGAAAATAAGATCAGCAAGTTAAGATCACATGAAAGCAAGCTAGAACAGATGAAAGAAAAGAAGCTGAAGAACAAGAAGACCAAAGAATACCTAATCAAGAAATACCACTTAGAAACAAGGAAGATCAGGAAGCACTGGAAATAATAAAGCAACAAATAACAGCTATAGCCAGGAAAATCAGTAGATATGAAGCTCGAATTGCAAACTATAGGCAGAACCTCCAATTTCAATCCAATCAGAAACGTTTCTACCAATCCATCAATGGAGAAACTGCAAGGAATCAGTCAGTATCTGACAAGGAAGAAACAGTGCAATTCTGGAAGCAGATATGGGATAACCCAAAGAAATACAACAGCTTGGTTAAAAGAGGTGGATGCAAATAAAACAGAAATTGAAATGAAAGAACTAGTAATAACAACAAAAATGGTAGAAAAAAGAGCAAAGAAAATCAAAAATTGGTCAGCACCAGGTGAAGATGAACTGCATAGGTTTTGGTTGAAAAATCTAACTGTTATACACCCACTCATTGCCAAGCAGTTCAACAATATACTACAAGGCGGAGAAATTGAAAAGTGGCTAACAACTGGGAAAACCTACCTAATAATGAAAAATCCAGCAAAAGGGGCAACACCAGGTAACTACAGGCCAATTACCTGCTTACCAACAACTTTCAAATTACTAACTGGTGTGGTAGATGATGCAGTACAACAGCATCTAGTTGAAAACAATCTCTTTCCACCTGAGCAGAAAGGAAACCGCCCCAATAGCAGAGGAACAAAAGATCAACTCCTAATAGACAAAATGATCTTGGAAAACTGCAAGAGAAGGAAGACCAACCTGAAGGTTGCATGGATTGACTACAAAAAGGCATTTGACTCTCTGCCACATGATTGGATAATCAAGTGCCTAGAAATAACAGGAGTAAGTAGAAACATCAGAAAATTTGTGCAAAAATCGATGGCACAATGGAAGACACAGTTGCAGATCAATGGTGAAAAGCTGTGAGAGGTTAATATCAAGAGAGGAATATTTCAAGGAGATTCATTATCACCATTACTATTTGTTATTGCACTGTTTCCTCTGTCAACAATACTGAATAACTCAGGACATGGCTATCAAACATCAAAACATCTGCCAGACTATCCCACCTCTCCTTTACATGGATGATCTGAAGCTGTATGGAAAAACATCATCTGAAATAGAATCGCTGCTCAACACTGTCCGTATATATAGCCAAGATATTGTAATGGAGTTTGGCTTGGACAAATGTGCCACACTTACTATCAAACAAGGAAAAATAATGAAAACTGAAGGAATCAAGATGCCCCACGAAAATAACATTAAGAGTCTGGATGAGGAAGAGTACTACAAATACTTGGGTATCCTTCAAGCTGACAACATCAAGCACACTGAAGTCAAGAAAAAGATTAGAGGTGAATACATCAAGAGAGTGAAGAAGATCTTAAAATCCAAACTCAATGGAGGAAATACCATAAAGGCAATCAACACCTGGGCAATCCCAGTCATTAGGTACACAGCTGGAATAGTGGACTGGACTCAAGCAGAACTAAAAGCAATGGATAGGCAGACCAGAAAAATAATGACAATGAATCATGCCCTTCATCCACGCAGTGACATTGATAGACTTTATCTACCAAGGCAAATAGGTGGGCGTGGAATGCTACAAGTACATCAGATGGTTGAAGAAGAAAAAATGGCTTTGGAAGAATATCTGAAGAACAATGATGAAGATGCACTGAAATTAGTATATCAGGAAGGCTTACTGACTACTGGAGAGACCAAACTGGCCTACAAGAAAGACCAAATGAAGAACAGAATAGAGGCATGGGAAGACAAAGCACTACATGGCCAATACATTAAAAAAATAGCTGGGAAAGCAGATAATAATAAAACCTGGCAATGGCTAAGAGCAGGAAAATTGAAGAAAGAGACCGAGGGACTAATTCTGGCTGCACAAGACCAAGCCTTAAGGACAAATGCATACAAAGTCAAAATTGAGAAGACAGCAACAGACAGTAAGTGCCGCCTATGCAAAGAAGCTGAAGAAACAGTGGACCACTTGGTAAGCTGTTGCAAGAAGATTGCACAGACTGATTACAAGCAGCGACATGACAAAGTAGCAACAATGGTGCATTGGAAGATCTGCAAAAAATATCATTTGCCTGTAAGCAAAAACTGGTGGGATCATAAAATAGAGAAAGTCATAGAAAATGATAAAATTAAACTGCTCTGGGACTTCAGAATTCAAACAGACAAGCACCTGCAACATAACACCCCAGACTTAACAATTGTCGATAAGAAAGACAAAAAAGTCTGGATAGTGGACGTGGCAGTGCCTGGAGACAGCAGAATAGAAGAGAAAGTACTGGAGAAGATAACAAAATACAAAGACCTACAAATAGAAATAGAAAGACTGTGGCAAAAGCAAGCAAGGGTAGTACCAATAGTCATAGGCTCCTTGGGCGCAATCCCAAAACAACTGGAGCACCACTTGAACACCATTGGCATTGACAAATTTGCTATTAGTCAATTGCAAAAGGCGGCCTTATTAGGAACTGCTTCCATCCTGCGACGATACCTGTAATACCATCAAACATCCACATCTGCCTATCCCAGGTCCTGGGTAAGGACTCGATAGGTAGACAAAATGCCAAATCCAGTCTGAACATCTGGCTGACTGTGCGATGATTGAGAATAATAATAATAATAATAATAATAATAATAATAATAATAATAATAATAATAATAATAATATATTATAAAGTCGGAAGGGACCTTGGAAGTCATCTAGTCCAACCCCCTGCTCAGGCAGGAAACCCTATACCATATTGGACAAATGGCTGTCCAGTCTCTTCTTAAAAACTTCCAGTGTTGGAGCATTCACCGCTTCTGGAGGCAGGTTGTTCCACTGCTTAATTGTTTTAACTGTCAGGAAGTTTCTCCTTAGTTCTAGGTTGCTTCTCTCCTTGGTTAGTTTCCACCCGTTGCTTCTTGTCCTGCCTTCAGGCGCTTTGGAGAATAGCTTGACTCCCTCTTCTTTGTAGCAGCCTCTGAGATATTGGAACACTGCTATCATGTCCCCCTCTGGAACAGCATCCCGCCGGAGATAAGGATGGCGCCCTCACTCCCAGGGCCCCAGAAAGCTCCAGAAAACCTGGCTTTGGTCCCAAGACTGCGGTTGATGTATCATTACTTGTCTAGGATCTCTGCCTTGTTTGATTTTTGTTGCCTGTAAGATTATTTTAATCTGGACTGTCCGTTTGGTTTAATGTTTTTATGTTGTTTTTATAGCGTCTGAACTAAATGGAAAAAAAAAAACTTTGTCCCTACTTTGTCATTCCAGAAAGCCCTGAGATAGATAATCCAGAAAATATGACTCTTATAGGAAGCTTGCTGGCTGAACAAAAAATGTGAAGCAGAGTCTTTAAGTCTGTCCAGCACTCTCTAGGGACAGGAAACTTCAAGCCTGGAAATGCAGGATTTTGTTTTCACTGGATCCAGATGGAATTCAAAACTTATGAAATGGAGACATGCTGTAGCACATATACCGTGGTTTGCTTAGTCTTAAAGTGTGGTCAGGCTCCTTAGCTATAGCTGTAACTACATTTTACTCCTTCAGTTGTTTTGATCGGCGTTTATCAATTTTAGGTGATTTTAAGTGTTGCCTTTGGATCATCTTGCTAACCTGCACTTGAGGTTCTGCAACGGTAGGAGAAATGTAATGAACAATGTATAAACCAAAATGCGGTACAGCACTAAAGTTACCACAATGTGCATAGATTTGCTATAAAATTAATCAAGTTCTGTCATAAAGACAACCACAAATAAGGGTGCGTGAGAGGCTATATGTTATTTGCAGTTGTTCAGGAGAAATATCGATCATCTTCTCCTTTCTGCCTGCCTGCAACATCACACTTACAGATTGCTTTGGTCCTTCAAGTTAGATGGAAAAGATCTGCATTCTGGACCAACTCTCTCCTGTCCTGTTCTTCTTTTTCAGCTTCTTCTGCTTCGTCATCTTTGGCAAATGCCCCAGTAGAAGCAGAGCAAGCATGGCCCCAGAGCAGTGGGGAAGAAGAGCTGCAGCTACAGTTGGCACTGGCCATGAGTAAAGAGGAAGCGGAGCAGGTAAGCGCCAAGGTAAATCTATCACTGGAAGCTCTTTGGATGCATGGAAGTGGGGCAAAGAATGGGCAAATGATCATTGTCTGTTGGGATATAAAATACTGTATATTTCAATGGAGGGGCTGTTATTTGTTGTGCAAGTTCTCATTTGAATCTGTTGAAGCTTAAGAACTGTCATGTAAAAGAATATAAAACTTTATTAGATCAGGAATACTATTTTGATTTGGGCCCATTCTCCTATTTTTTTGTAGGAAAAAACATCTCCAGAAGTTTTCTCTCCCCACCATCTATCAGGTTAAAAAAATGGGCAGCTGCTACAACTGTAGACTTGCATAGGTTATTCTAATCCAGCAGTTCTCAACCTGTGGGTCGCGACCCCTTTGGGGGTCGAACGACCCTTTCACAGGGGTTGCCTAAGATCATCAGAAAACACATATTTCCGATGGTCTTAGGAACTGAGACACTGCTCCTCTATCCGTCTCCGCACGGCTTTGAGCTGGGGGCCGTTGCAGTGCCGGATTCGTTTCCGTCGAGCATCTCCTAAGAGAAGCTGCGCTGCTTCATGGCTCTTTCCGCGGAGGAGGCTGAACTAAGCTCTGCTGGCACTGTCGCCCTCTTGGCTCTCCCTCTCCCCGCCTGGATGCTTTTCCAACCAGGCTGGGCGGAGCCGGTGGAGCAGTCTTTCTGCCCCCCCTCCCCAGCCAGCTGGAGCCAGGTAGGCCGGCGACCTTTGGAAGTGAGGCGAGGACAGGCAAGGCGCGCTGAGCCCCGGGCACGGTGGTGAGTGGGTGGCATCGGTGCGCTTGGAGAGCCCTTTGGGTTGGGAGTCACCACAACATGAGGAACTGTATTAAAGGGTCGCGGCATTAGGAAGGTTGAGAACCATTGGTTTAACCCAATATCCTCAACTTCATCAAACGTGAAGATGTGTGGATTTCCATTTCCAGAATTCCACAGTCAGATTGTTGGCTGGGGGAATCTGGGAGTTGAAGTCCACACACTTAAAGTTGCTGAGGTTGAGGAACATATGCTGTAGGCCAGGGGTGTCAAACTGGCGGCCTGCAGGCCAGATGTATCATGCATAGGCCATGCCCACCCCAGCTTCGCAAAGGCAAAAAGCATTGTGATACGTTGCAATACGTCACATGATGTGATCAAATTTGATATCTGTGTTATAGGCCATGAAGAGAATCAGAAATAGAGTGCAGGCTTTAAAATTTTTAAATTTTAAAATCCCCCACACTTGGGAGTGATATCATCATGGACTTTGCATTAGATCTAATCCCAAAGCATAGCCTCGTCCCAATTATGTTTGTAATTTTCTAATTGCAATTGTAATCCCCTCTGAGTAACATCAGAAGCTCTAAGAGGGCTCCCCTTGTTTAGGGCAGCTGGGCAAGCTAATAGAGCAGCCAGTGATTCCCCTCAGGCTGTTTGCAGAGACCTCATAGCCTCTTAAGGTCTGGTACCTGAAGGATTGCCTTTCCTAACCTCTCTGTTTAGGCAGGACTCTCCACCTCCCACATGCAGCCCGGTACTGGACCACGGTCAGTTCAGAACTGGGCTACTCAAGCGGCAGGTGGGTGCCCACATGCAGCTCCATTTGAGCAAGGGCCCACCGCTGGCACAAAAGGAGCTTCATGTGAGCAAATGGAGCTGTGCTCGCAAGCACCTGCATCTGCTGCTGTCACGAAACCATTTCCTCTTCCCACCCACCCACCCAGTCTGCGAAGCCGGAAAGATTGGGGACCACTCTGCTTAGGCACCTGAGATCATTTTCAGAGCTCTTTCCTCCTCCCCAGTGTTTCTCTGCATCCCCCCATCTTTGATGATAAAAAAAGTTTTATGAATGGTAAACCCCAATGACTCAGCTCCTTTTGATGGTTGCTCAGTGCCAAAAAAAGTACAGTTTTTGTTACAACAGTAATTGGGATCTAAATTTCTGTCACTTAAGCGAACAGTCATAAAATACAACATCATGTGACTTCATTGTTCAACAGTGAGAATCTCAGCAGTTCCCATTGTTCATAGAATCCCTAAGGGTTGTTAGGCAAGGATTCACCCCAATCCAAGGCATTCCTGGCTTGGGCCCGCCTAGCCCCGAGCCTCAGTAACTGAAGGGACTGCCTTCTCTTTGGCTCCCCCACCTGCCCATCTCCCGCCTGTCTGCCATTTTGGGCCATCCTGCAGTCCACCACCTGGTAAGAAAGCCAGCTGTGATTTGGGCAAGGCTGCATGCTGCCTTTGGAAGAAAGCCTAGTGCAGCCAGCAGCTGCATCGTGAAGGGCCAGGCCAGACGCGCCTTGTCAACAGTGGGTCGAAGAAGATGAGGAAGGCCAGCTGGGAGCAGCAGAGCTGGCAAGGTGAGAGGAATGCAGGCTGGCAAGTCGAATGGAACCTAAGGCCAGCAGAACCCAGAGTGGCAGAGCTGGTGGAGGGCAGGGTGGCCAAAAGGGCAGAGATGAGGGCAAGACGACAGGGAGAGAGGAGTTGAAGCACACACGCAATTATTAATTGTGGGTGGGCTGCAAAGCCCCTGAATTTTGATCATATAACCGGAGGGGGACTGGAATGGCCATAACTTTGGGGACTGGGCAGTTACTCATGGCTGCTGTAATTTCAAACAATTGCCAATCTTCAATTTTGTTTCCACTTATCATGCTGCTGTTTTATCAGCAATTATTAATTACTTCCAATTCTGCTGTGCATTTGTTGTCCTGCCTATTCAAATAGGCTCCCAGCCCAGCTTAAAAAGATGCTAGTGACAAAGTCCCTGGGTTTAATAGTATAAAAGTTTTTAAAAGGTTACTTGTAAATGACTTTTATTTTTTTTAAAGGCTATTTTAATCAGCCTTGATTCAGTTGGAATAATCAGATTGATTTAGGCATTGACATTTTCAAATCAGATTAATTTGGAAAATTGATTTGAAATTGCCTGCAGATCAAATAATTTGAGTTGAAGCTGTCACTGCCTGACGCTGAAGAGGCTAAAGAGGGTTTGTGAGTAAGTGCCCAATGCCCGATTGAATGACAACTGGACCAAAAAGAATGGTGCAAACAGACATGGGTGCAAATAAAAGCAGAAATAGAATGTGTGTGTCACTAATTAATCAAAAAGAAAAATCATAAGGCTTTAGGGAGCCTTTCTCAACCCGGATTCTGACAGATGCTTGGTTTAAAAGTTCATCATCTTGGAACATTGATCATGTGGCCTTGGGCTGTTAGTTGCAATAGATCGCAAAGTCCAGAGGGAATCAGATTTGAGGAAGAAATCTTTTTTAAAGAGGCTGCTTTATTAGAGCAGCTTTCCCTCATCTGATGTCTTCCAGATGTGTTGGACTGTAGCTCTCATGTTATAGCTTAGTAAAATGTGCAGAACAGACCAATGTACACTTGAAGCTGTTGAGAGTCATGGATCTGGTTTAACAATTATGTCTGCAGGAGACAGAGAATTGTGGAAGGAGGCTGATACTATCGGTTCCTTCAGCTGTTGCTCTTCTGAGAATATGATCCCTGTTTAAAATAACTTGACTGGAGCTCTTAGGGCCAGGGAGCTGAATTTTGACAGGGATTGTTTTGAGCATAGCTGAGCTTTAAGTATTTTGTAATGCATCTGGTCAGCATAAGGGTTGAATTGCTGTCCACAAATCGTCCAATGCCGTTGGAAGTAAAATCAGCTTCCAGCAGTGGGGTGGGCAGTATGGTGGTGATCTGACTTTCCTTCCTCCTCCAGGGCTGGTTCCAGTTTACATGGATAGGGGAGGAGAGGCCCAGTCTATGTCTTCCACTACATGGGGTTCAATGCTTTCTCCTCTCCTGTTTAATATCTGCATGAAGCCATTGGGTGAGGTCATCCCTTTATTTGGGATGAGACATATCTTAAGTGTTATAGCTGATACCCAGCTATATATCTCCACCCTGGTCCTTCTGAGTGATGCTGTGGAGATCCTGTTGATGTCGGGAGGCTGTGGGAGACTTGATGGAGAGCAAGAGGCTTTGGCTCAACCCTAGTAAGACCAAGTGACTTTGGGTTTTAGGATCCCCTTGTTCTAAGGACTTCCCATCTCTCATTCCGGATGGGATTGCACTGCCCAAGACAGATCCCGTGGACAGTTTGGGAGTCCCCCTGGACTTGTGGCTCCAACTGAAGAAGGCAGCCATGACTAGGAAGGCATTGTATAGCTTCATGTTGTGGATCAGTTGCGCCGATTCCCATAGTTGACTGGGGAATTCTGGGAGTTGAAGTCCACAAGTCTTAAAATTGCTAAGGTTGGACACTCCTGGTTTACACAAAACCCCTTAAGGATGCTCTTTTGTTTACCTTTCCTCTGTTGTAGTTTTCATATCCTCTCACTCTCCTAAGAAGTCTGCTTCCTCCACCGAATGGAGGAGATGGAAAAAGATGTGCTCACTCACTCTGCATAGGGAAAGCGAAGCCCTAAATTCTGTTCGTGATCATTAATTCTCCTTAGACCTGCTGCTGTCCAACCACTGTTCGTTTCCATCACTGAGCTGAGTGGCTGTTCCTACACTTCCAATGTGACTCGCCAAACATAAAACTCCTTCCCAGTGTCTGTGGAGATTCTCAATCTTCCAAGTCATAATTGTCTCAGAGGTGCTTTTTTTCTTCAAAAGGCAACCGGATTGTTTTTTTCCTGAACTGATGAAGCTTCTTGGATGAGAAGTGAAGCTTTTTTTTTTCTTCTTCCCAAATGAAAAAAAACAGTCCAGTGCCTTTTGAATAATAATAATAATAATAAAGTACCTTTGAGACTCCTTCCCGGTGCTCTCTTGTCAGCTTCTTCCTGTTTCTGTGGCTCCTTCCAGACGGATTTGATCCTCTGTGCTCCCTCCCCTCCCCCCAATAACCCCCTCCCACCTGGTCCTCTTTTATTTTCAGCTCCTTGTTTATTCTTGGCACCTTCTTTCCACTTCCCTTGACCACCACCCCCCTCCATGCAGCATTTCCTCCACCCTGTTGTTCTAAACGGAAAGCAGATAAATTCTTACCGAGATATTAATTAAGATCTGTGCCATTGTGCCAGGTTTTATTTTTATTCTATTTGTATTAAGGAAAGATGTCTAGGTAACAGGATAGAAAAAAAACAGTCTAGATGTGGTATAGACTATTTTTCTTCTTCTTGACACCTCTGTTATGTTCAAGAATGAAAAAGTAATTACTTTTTTTTTTGAATGAGGAAAAAAAAGTAATTACTTTTTTTTTTTGGAGGGCTTGGGATGATTTGATCCGAAAGTTGGAAAGTTGAGGTAGAGAGAAATATTTCTCCATAGTGTTAGTGCAGATATGTCAAACACAAGGCCCGGGGGCCGGATGCGGCACACGAAGTGGTTTCACATGGCCCACGAAGCCATCCTGGAAACAGTGAGGGAACGGCCCCCGCTGCCTTGGCCCTGGACCAGGCCAGCCAGGAGCCAATGTACAATTTTGTGGTGGCCATCTATGTGAAACGCATTCAGTGTTAGCTCCATAAGCGCCCCGCCCCCCCGCACGCATGGCCTGAGACGAACAGTAAGGCTCCTCCAGTGGACCATGCCTTGGTACTTGCCCTGGTCCCACTCCTTTCTGCCAGAGACCCTCAGATCTGTCCCACTCCTGCCCAGGCCCCCACAGGCCCCCTTGATGCGAATGATGTAGAGCTGGCCACGCCCACTCCATCCACGCCCACCCAGTAGGCTGCACCCATCCTGGCCACACCCACCCGGCCCCCTGAGGGCAACTGCAATGCTGATGCAGCCCTCAATGAAGTTGAGTTTGACACCCCTACGTTAGTGGAAGGAGCTTTCCCTTCTCCAGTGCCTGGCTTTTATACAGGATAGACAGAAGGAGCAGAATATTCTACATCTGCTGCACAGTCAACGTCTTCCCTCCTCCTCTCTCCTGACAGCTCACTTGCCTACATCCAGTTTCTGATTCTCTATAGCTGCCAGGCTGATGCTTCACAGACATGGACATTAGCATAAAAATATGTCTTTCTTCTCCCACCGAGAAGGCATCCACTTTCCAGATACCATCAGGCTGTGGCCCTTGTTCCACTGTGTTGGAAGAGTGTAGGGAGAACTCATAAATGAGTATCATAGCAGGATTCTGAACCTGATTTCTTCATATCCTATTTTGTTCATTTGACTACCCAATTTCAGCCTTCTCTACCTGGTGGCTCTCTAGAGGGCTTGGACTTCAGTTCCCATCATTTATGGAAGTGGACGTCCATCACATGTGAACACACCCGATTGGGAAGGGTGATCCCACCTAAAGTGATTATTAAGGGTTGGAAAGTGAGGATATCTTGCTGATTCTTGGACCTGTGCAGACACATTTCTCGACATATATCACGATATGGTCCCAATACAGTTTGCTTTTGCTTACTAGAACACTACTTAGGGCTTGGAGTGCTTTTGAAATTTTTGTGAGAACTGTTTAATTGTAGCCAGGAAGAAAAATCACACTTTGCAAGTATACCTAGAAATCACACTTCGCAAGTATACCTAGAACTGGTTTGGCCAATTTTGAGGGAAAATACTGGATATGAGCTTGGTAGTTTTCTTGCAGACATTTCATTACCCAGCTAGGGTTTTGCACTGATAATATTATCTAATTGGGCAATAAAACACCTGCAAGGAAACAACCAAGTTTGGAGAACATCCAGGACCCCACAGTTCAATCGTGAGGTACAAATATTATCTCAGAAACTGAATATTATTGGGCAGTTCAAAATCTGGGAGGTGATGGGCTAGTTCAGGGATCTGCAACGTTGACAATTTGAAGACTTGTGGACTTCAGCTCCCAGCTGGCTGAGGAATTCTGGGAGCTGAAGTCCACAAATCTTAAAGTTGTCAAGGTTGCAGACCCCTGGGTTAGTTCAATTGATTGGGCTTTTGCAACCCAGTGTGGAAATGGCTTTGAGAATTGGAGATACCCTCCGTCTGTCTGTCTTCTCCTCCTTCCTCTCCATGTGTCAAACTCCATTCCATGCCTCTTATGTTGTGTTTCTTCCCTCCCAGCCCCCTGCAGTGGCCGACGAAGACCTACAGCTCCAGCTAGCCCTTAGCTTGAGCAAAGAGGAGCACGACAAGGTTAGACTGCTGTCATGACACCCCACTCAGTTCTTCCTGAAATAATCAACTAAACCACTTTCTCTGAGCTAGTCTTGACCCCTCACACTTTTCTAACTAACATGGCATTCTCTGTCTCTCCAAGTCCACATCCAAAGCAGGGTGATGGCAACAATCTCTCCGTTTTCAGCTTTAGGCTTCCTGAATTATCCACTCCCGGGTTAATTGTCCATTCTTCAGTTGACCAGTTTCCAAGTTTCTCCCAGTGAGAAGCTGGTTAATAAACCGGTCAATCCAGGTATCCTAAGCTTGACTGGGCTATGACTTTAATTCAGGCCAGCTAAGGTATTCGATGAATGTCTCCAGAAGCTTGGAGACAACATCCTGGAGGAAAATGTACTTATGAGTTGCTGATGAGAAAGAGGGATCAGACTCTCAATTGGAAAGGAAGGCCACAATTTGAAACAAAGCGTTGGATGTCTTTTCAGATTTCTTTTCTCACCTTAGCTGAAGGTGAGGTGGAAAGGCAAGAAAAAGAAGACTTTTTTTCTTAATCTGTGTTATCTCTGGATTTTACTGGATTCACCCAGTAGATGAAAAGATAAAGTACTAGAAATTCAGCCAGTTTCAGCTAGTAAAAATCCTAGAATGAGAAGTTAACACTGAGATTGCTGGGCACCTTGAAGGTCATATAAGTTTTGAGCCTGAGGGAGTTGCAGTGACTAGAAGATGCTTCTACTTGGACTCCACTTTTATGAACTACTGACAAAAGCAGCCAAAATTCAGGATTCCATTATTTGGCAGCAACTAGTTGTTGGAAGGTTAGAATAGCATCTCGCTCACTTCTCTTTCTCGGATGTTTTTCCTGAAGATAACTTTTCATGCAAAACAGAAACAACAGTAGCAGATGCTTCAAACCTGATCTGATCCCTGGCCAAGCTGCTGTCCATCTATATTCTGGCTCTTGCTCTTTCTATGCCAAAGGTGAGTAACCACCTGTCACTTTCTACTGCCTCTGCTCATGCCTCTGTCCTTTTCACAACCCTCTTACAGGAAGAGCGGATCCGGCGGGGGGATGACCTACGTCTCCAGATGGCCATTGAAGAGAGCAAGAAGGAGACGGTCCCTGCTAAGGAGGAGGTGAGACGGAAGAGGCAGGTGGGCAGCTGCTTGCCATGATAGTTAGGATCTCCCATGCAAAGGGGTGGTGTGGGTGGGAGGAGAGCAACGTGGGGCAGCAAGTATTTCCCTTTGTGCCCCATGGGGTCAACTCCGAGGGGCATCTGGCTGGTCCCTTCGGGAAAAAGAGGATGCTCAAGTAGAAGACCTGTCAGGCACAAATAACTGGGAACCGGAGTTTAAGTTCAAAGTACTACAAGTTTATTACTAGTAGTCCTCAACTTACAACAGTTCATTTAGTGACCATTTGAAGTTACGACGGGCATTGGAAAAAGTGACTTGTGACCATTTTGCACACTTATGACTGCTGCAGCCTCCCCATGATCAAAATTCAGATGACTCTTATTTGCAACGTCCCAGAATCATGGGATCATCTTTTGTTACTTTCTGAGAAGCAAAGTCAATGGGGAAGCCAGATTCACTTATCAACTGCAGCGATTCATTTAACAACTGTGGCAAGAAAGGTCGTAAAATGGCACAAAACTCACTTAACCAATGTCTCACTTAACAATAGGAATTTTGGGCTGAGTTATGGTCCTAAGTCGAGGACTACTTGTACATACTACCCATACACAAGAATCTGACCTACTAACGGTCCAAGGCAAATTGGTGCCTGATAACAGTCAACGGAATTCAAGTGGACTTCGATTTCTTGTGGGAGTGGCATGATTCCAAACTGATGATACACTTGGCCTCACCCCCGGGCTCAGCCTGGTCATCTCCTAGAACAGGGGTCTTCAGATGCATGCCTGGCTGAGGAATTCTGGGAGTTGAAGTCCACAAGTCATAAAAGGGCCAAGACCCTTGTCCTACAAGACCCATGCTTTACTCTAGCAAAACCACCTCTTAGCAACAGTGTGAAATAGTTATCATTTTATGGACATGATTCATATCCTATCTTTCTGCCCCGGGGAGCCCTCAAGAGTCAACTAATACCATTTTATATCTTCTTCCAAAGAACTTTATGGATGGATGTTTTAGTTTTATCTTTGCACAAATACTATGTTGTCAATTAAACCAAAAGTGAATATAAATCAAAGTCTCTCCCTTGATTTCTGGGTGGTTTACAGGTCATCATCGTGGGTACTCTGTCTCCCCTTTATGTAATAATGTCGGAATTGAAAGGACTTTTACAATTTAAATGACACTCCTCCCCCCCCCAAAAAAAAAAACAGAAGTAGAACTTAGTGTAACAAAGCCTTTGAATTCAGTTATTGAGAACAGGATGCCAAGCTGTTGCAATTGGCTCTGGTTCATAATAAATGTTCAAGTAAATAAACCGATTCTGCCCACTTCTAAGAACAAGATTTTATTTGTTTGTTTGTTTGTTTATTTGGGGTATAGTGTCTACAGAGGTCGTGCAACCACTGATATACAACACTAATAAAATGCAGTATCTGTACAAACACAAGTATAAATTTGTTTGTTTATGAAATTTATTTTCCGATTATCTTGAATCCAACGACTCTGGGCAGCTCATAGCATGAAGACATTAGAGCAGTGTTTCTCAACCTTGACAATTTTAAGGCATGTGGACTTCAACTCCCAGAATTCCACAGCCAGCAATGCTGGCTGTGGAATTCTGAGAGTTGAAGTCCACATGCCTTAAAATTGTCAAGGTTGAGAAACACTGCATTAGAGCATTAAAAAAACCTAAAATCAGTAATCATAGAAACACAGCAGATAAAATCGTTAACAGTTTAAATAGAGCATCAGTGTATAGGTTTACATTTAGGGCTGAGTGTGACTCTGTGCCTTCTCTTACTAGTCCTAGTCCACATTTCCAACACTACATTCCAGCAGGATGCTCTAGGCCAGGGAAATGGGAGAAACCATTGAAGGGGCGCTATACTTTTTCTCTTTCCCACTACAATCTCTGTTCTATTCTCCATTACCCAGTCATCTTTGATGGACCTGACTGATGTCTTTACTGCTCCACCACCTGCTGATCCGTGGGGTGTTCAGCCTGCTCCTGCTGACCCTTGGGGTGGCTCTACCACAGTAGTGCCTGCAGCCCGCACGGACCTGTGGGGACCCCCTGCTGCTGGAGCAGCCCCTACAGGAGATCCATGGGGAACTTCTGCAGCACCTCCTGCACCCCCCTCGGACCCCTGGGGAGCGCCCCCAGCTGCTAGCGCTGATCCCTGGAAAGCCGAAGGTAAGAACCGAGTCTGTTTGAAACAGTCTTCATCTCTGATCACCATTACTTTTTAATTATGTACTTGTGTGTGGTTCCTCTTCTGAAAAGATCTTTTAAGAGGAGGAGGTGGCCAACATGGGGGTCCCGCGGCATTTCATAAGACCTATGGATGAGGCTGTTTATAGTAGTTGTCTCCTGTGCTGCGAGCTGCTTGGTGGAGTGTAGAGAAAAGAGTGTAGAGCAGGGGTAGGCAACTATGGCGACTTTATGACCTGTGGACTGGCTGCATTCTGGGAGTTGAAGTCCACAGGTCATAAAGTTGCCACAGCTGGAGCTGTGATAAAAAGAAAATGGGGGTAATAGAAACAGGGTGTTCCCATCCCCATTTCGTTCCGTTACCACCTCCTGCTTGATTTATCCCTTCCCAGCATGCAGCTTCCCACAGATTACTGTTCGTGTGAATTGACTCTTTGCAGGTTCAGAAAGGCTGCCTGTTGCTTTTCAGCCATGAAGGGTGTGGGAAAAAAATGTTTCAACCAGGTCAGGTCAGCACCAGGCTAGATGAGGCCTTCTTTTATGCTGCCTTCAGTCCTAGGAGGAAGGACATCGTCATCCCCAGAATTCCTCCTGGCCTCTACAACCCTGGTGTCTCTCTGCCTCTCGTTTTTAATGGAGAGGTTCTCTATGGTTTGTCCTAAAAGCCACACACGGCCTCTGTATCCATTGGAAGAGAGACCCTTGATGTGCAGAGCAGACGGTATTTCGCCAAAGACCCAGTTCGGTTCTTAGCTTTCCTGCAGAAAGGCTCTCAGCAGATAATGGATGTTTGTCCTTTTTTGGACCTGAAATGCCCTTTTTAAGATGAATAACCACAGCTATAGACCATGTGGTCTCACCATAGAGTTGGGAAAAGGCATTACAGATAGTCCTCAACTTACAACTAGTTACTTAATGACCCAGAGCTACTTACCTCCCATTTGTTAAGTTATGATGCTCGCATACTCTCTGTGCCACCTACCACTGTGGCCACATGATCACACTTTGGGCACTTGGCAACTAGCTCATCCTTATGGCCATTTGCAGCATCCCATGGTGACGCGACCATATTTTACAACATATTGTTGTCAATTTCCAGCATTTACTTCTGGTTTCTGGCAAAAAAAAAAAAGAAGAAAAAAAAGCTCATTGGAGAAAATCGGTCCTCTTGGTGACTGCCATGTTTGCTTCACGTCAGCCACAGAAAATGTTCAAAAAATCAGGTCCAGTTATACCAGTGGTTCTCAACCGTTTTAATGCCGCTACCCCCAACCGGTCGTAAGTCCAGGACTACTCAACCGGTCGTAAGTCCAGGACTACTCAACTGGTGCAGCACCGTTTGCAGAATGGGACTTTGGCGGGCTCAGCAGGGCAGAGACAGCCTGGACAATTCCTATTGGCTTTTGAAAGCCAATAGAATTAGACTCTATTCAAGAGAGTCTATTCTATTGGCTTTCAAAAGCCAATAGAATAAAAGGGAGTAGCACAGCTAAGGAAAAGGGGGAAAAAATGACAGACTGCGTTGTTTGGCGACCCCCGTGAAATGGCCACCAACCCACAGGTTGAGAACCACTGAGTTACACAATACCTCAATTTACAACCAGAGCAACTTAACAACCATAATTCCAGACTCCGTTATGGTTGGGAGAATTACCTATATTAAATTGCAGTTCTAGTTTCTCCTACTAATTCCACAAATGAAAGGTCATGCTGGATTAATTTTTTTTTTATAATCAATTTGTCCACTGTGACCCCCAAGATCCCTTCCCTGGTTTTAGTCACTGCCAGTTCAAACCTTTTTAACATACATAATTTGTGCCAACACACGTCCCTTTAATTTAATTACATTTAACTGCCTTTGCTGTTTGAAAGCCCATTTATCTCCCAAAAGGGGAATCCTTTGAAAACTCTCGATTTAATGCCAAGCTCTAAATGGTTTGCTGCCATCAGCAAACAGAGTCACTTCAATGCTTAGCCCTTGTTCCAGATCACTGAAATATCAAATAAAAAGCATTGCTCACTGCATCTGTGGCTGGAAGGTAGATGCTTTGCATATCTTTGCACAATTGAGAATTGCCCATTTATTTTTATCATTTATTTCATTTTTTTAATCAGTTCCCAGTCCATAAATGTATCTACACTTTTAACCCATGGCAGCTGACTTTGCACAAGATCAGAGATCTCCAAACCTGTCAGCTTGAAGACTTGCGGACTTCAACTCCCAGAATTCCTCAGCCAGCAAGGGTGGCTGAGGAATTCTGGGAGTTGAAGTCCGCAAGTCTTCAAGTTGCCAAGTTTGAAGATTCCTGCTCAAGACCCCTTGGTGAGGGCTTTTTGAAAATCCAAATACACATTATCTACTAGGTATCTTGTCCACATGCTTGTTCCCACTTTCCCCAAATTTCAAAAGTTTCAGGGGATCACTCACCTTTTGGAAGCCATGTTGGCTTATTTTCAGTTACTGCTTTTTCTTTCCTGTGTTCTTTTGGGATCTTAGTGAGCCACTTCCAGTCAGGGGAGTGTGATAGATGCACAAATTATCTAACAGGAAGGCCATTTCCTTTGAGTTAAACCTCTTTACAGTTTGATGGTCCTTCACCAGTGGAATGCATGCTCCCTAATTGCCACACACAATGCAGAATAACAATTAGAGGAGACTTTGGAAGTTCTCTAGTCCAACCCCCACCCCCAGCAGAAGACCTTGTACCATTCTGGATAAATATCTGTTCAATCTCTTCTTAAAAACTTCCTGTGATTGAGCATTATTTTGGCCAGCCTGCTCCTCAAAAACCCTCCTGTGTTTTCCTTGTGCAGCTGGATCTAGACATGCCAGAATTCCTGGACAGGCTGTTCTCCAATTCCATCTCTGACATTATTCCGGAACCATGAACTGAGTTGCTTTATAGTTCTGGTCCAGACAGCATACACTCAATGAGAACAATTTTAAAACAATATTTATTGTCCAGGAATTCTAAGCAGAGACTTACTATGCAGAAGATACATCTGGTCATTAGGATATTGTTTATTCCCATAGGTAAAGGAATAATGGACTCCTCCGGAAATCCATGCAGAGAGATAATACAATGGCACAAAGCCAGGAACTCCTGCAATAACTTTTTAACTACTCCCACTGTCTAGATAAGAAATGGGTCTGACTAACACTGAACTATGTTACCCTAAGCCATCTCTTAAGGAAACAGTTTAACCCTTTAAATGCTAAACATTCTAACATACAGTTCTCTCAATGAAACAACATTAATCCTGTAAATGCTAAATACTCTTAACACAGTTCTAGCTGGCTACAGTCCGGTCCAGCACAGACATGGTTCGTTTCCTTCCCAGGTGGGACTTCTGTGGGGCCCATAACAGCACCACCCACAGACCCATGGTCCTCCAGCACGGCTCCCACGCACCAAGGACAGCCTGTTCCTGATCCTTGGGCTCCAGCATCCACTTTTTCAGATCCCTGGGGGGGCTCCCCTTCTAAGCCGAGCACCAACGGTGTGGCAGGTAAGGATGAAATTTGCAGTAGGGGATTGGGGACCAAGTGGTGGGAGAAGGGGAGGGGAGGGGCTGGTCTTTCTCACTGGGTCAGCTGAAGGGGAAGGACTCCTAGTTCAGAGTTGGGATAGAGGGCCTCTTCCTGCTTCCAGCTAATCCTTCTGCCCCATCCTTCCTTTTGTGTGCCCTGTTCCTCTCCAGCTGCCAGAGGCTTTGAGCAGTTTGATGACGGGGACAGGGATGAATTCTCTGATTTTGACAGCCTGCGCCCAGCACTGCCCAAATCTGGAAGCAGCACAGGTCAGCCTTGCTTCCCCCTCCCTCTCCTAGGCATGGTTCCTAACGCTGCACCCCAGTGTGTTTTTCCACCTTGGCAGCTTGAGGTTGTGTGGACTTCAACTCCCAGAACTCTCCAGCAAGCCGTGTTGGCTGAGGAATTCTGGGAATTGAAGTCCACACATCGTCATGTTTGCCACATTTGAGAAACACAGTGCTAACCTCCCTTCCCTCTAACCTATCAGGCCGATGGTTTGTGGACTGGATGACCTCTCGCTCCCCTGGCATGGGAGAGAGTTTGCATGCTCCTCCCTTTGATTATCTCCCTCCCTACCTCCTCTAACCTTGTTTGGACATTGGCTTTCCAAACTACATGTTCTTGCATGTAGTTTGAAAGGGATGAGAAAATAAATTAACACTTTAATTAACAAAAAACTAAAATCTGGGGAAGGGAGGGTTGTTTGTGGTTTGGGGGAATGGGGCCAAAATGATTGTGGAAAGTCATAAACCAAGCACAATTCCTTGTATGACCAGCCAATTGCCCTGCCTGTAATGGGGCCTGTGTTTTCCGTCCATATTCTCTGTACATCTGGATATTTACTCTCTCCCTCTCTTTCCCTCCCTCCCTCCCTCTTCCTCTCTCTCTCTCTCTCTCTCACTCTCACTCACTCTCTCACTCTCTCATTTCTTGTTCCACAGGTGAACTGTCCCTCTTAGCAGGGGAGGTCCCTGTCTCTCAGGTTGGCAGTGGCAAGGAGAGCCCCAATACTTTTGACATGGCTGCTGTGGCTGGGTCACTGCCAGAGACCTGCAAGCCGATGCGTAAAACTCCCGAGTCATTCCTGGGTCCCAACGCAGCCCTGGTGGATCTGGACTCGCTGGTTAGCAAACCTGCTGCTCCATCTAGCAGCACCAAGGCTTCCAACCCCTTCCTCCCTCCTGGTAAGGGTTTTTGTGTCTTGGGGTGTCAGGGGGAGCAAATAAAGGGACTCCTACTCATTGCTGTGCTCAAGAAGAATCAAACTCGGTTTGAGGTATAGGAAATCGGTCCCATTGCATTGATATCACTGAGATAGAAATAAAAAGGAACTATCCTTGTTTGAATTAATTAAAGATAGTCCTCGACTTACAACCACAACTGAGCCCAGAATTTATGTTGCTAAGTGAGAAATTTGTTAAGTGAGTTTTGTCCCATTTTACAACTTTGCTTATGAAGTGAATCACTGTAGTTGTTAAATTAGTAACACAGTTGTTAAGTGAATTTGGCTTCCCCGTTGACTTTGTTTGTCAGAAGGACGCAAAAGGTGATCACGTGACCCTGGGACACTGCAACGGTCATAAATATGAACCAGTTGTCAAGCATTTGAATGTAAATCACATGATCATGTGGATGCTGCAATGGTCATAAGTGTGAAAAATGGTCATATCACTTTTTTCAGTGGCATTGTAAGTCACAACATTGAACGGTCACAAACAAACTGTTGTAAGTCGAGGATTACTTGCATAAGCAACACTGAAATCAGACTAGCCAGTTTGGTCTAGCGGTTATGACACCGGGCTAGAAAACCAGAGGCTGTGAGTTCAAGTCCCACCTTATCCATGAAAGCTGTCTGAGTAACTTGGGGTCAGTCACTAGGAGACTTTGAGTTATAGTTCCGCCTTAGCCATGAAAACCAGGTGGGTCATTTGGGCCGATCACCAGGAGACTGTAAGTTCTAGTTCTGCCTTAGACATGAAAGCTGGCTGCATGAGTTTGTGCTAGTCATGGTCTCTCAGCCCAACCCACCTAGGAGGAAAGTGTGTTTGCCACCTTTAGTTATTTGTAAAAATAATAAAGGCGGGATACAAATAAATACAATTTAAATTCGTTTTTGAAGTAGCTTTCTCCCAGTTTGACTGCCTGACAAAATGTTAATTAGCACACCCCCATTGTTCCCAGCTGGTGTGGGAATTATGGGGTGTGATTGCCAAAAATATTTCAGAGGAGTGGTTCATGTTTTGAGTGTGGAGACCAAGATTCAAGTTCCCACTTCGCTTTAGGACTTACTGGATAACTGAGTCAGTCACGATCAATCCAGCCTACCTCAAAGGGTTGCTATGGTTATGAATGAAATGAATGACTCCATGCGTGTCATCTTGAGCATCTAAAGCAGGGGTGTCAAACTGCCAGCCTGAGGGCCGGTTGTATCATGCGGAGGCCATGCCCACCCCAGCTGCGGCAATGCAAAAAAAGTCGCCATGTGTCACGTGACGCAGCATGTTTGACATCCGTGATCTAAAGCAGGGGTAGGCAACCTCGGCTCTTTTATGACTCATGGACTTCAATCATGAAGTCCATGATTTATAAAATAGCCGAGGTTGCCTACCCCTGATGTAAAGAAATGCTGTAATAAAGGCTGTAAGATTAGAAAGGTAGAACTTTTTTATTTGGATGGGTGCCTGTTTGGGGAAAGCTGTGTGAAGATTTATTCATAGAAGAGAGTTTGTTGGCCTGAAGCAGGACCAGATTGACAGGTAGAACCTTCTAGAGCAGTGTTTCTCAAACTTGGCAACAACGTGTGGACTTCAACTCCCAGAATTCCCCAGACTGCATGCTGGCTGAGGAATTCTGGAGTTGAAGTCTACGCATCTTCAAGCTGCCAGAGTCGAGAAATATATTTCTAGAGGATGAATCAGAACAGTGTTCCTCAGCCTTGGCAACTGGAAGACATGCAGCCTTGAACTCTCAGAATTCTTCCTGGGTTAAGTAGACCTCTGGGGTTTTTAGGCCAGAGGGAGGCCCTCTGGGCTTCTCTGTAATGATGTTTTCTTTTCTGTCTTGTTGCCTGCTGCAGGTTCAGCTCCCACCCCACCTGCCTCGGCCACCAATCCATTCCAGGCAGCGGCAGCCACCCCGCTGTCACTCAATCAACTCCGTGTCAGTCCAGTACTTCCGTTATCACAGCCAGCGCCACCAGCATTTCCTGCCACAGCTCCAATGGTCTCCATGTCCCCCATGGCTCCCGGGATGCCCTTAGCCTCTGTTTCCCCCATGGTGGCGGTGCAGCCCTTGGGGGCTGTTCCCCCTCTGGGGCTCCCTGCCATGGGGCTGCCCCCTCAGAGCCTGCCCCCTGCCGGCGTTGTTCCCAGCAGCACTTCGGCCTCCACCCTGGGGAGCACTAACCCCTTTTTGCTATAACTGGGGGACCTTTGGCCAGGTGTTGACCACCTAAACATCCCCTTTTGCCCTGTGTTCCCCATTGGCAGTGGGGCCCTCCGATGGCAGCCACCCAGCAGGGGCAGCTGAATTGGGATGGGAGGGAGGTGGAAGGAAAGGGAGGGACCCACGTCTTTGCAGGCCCTCCACCCCCATGTTGGGAGGTCAGGAGAGTTTTTCTGAAAATTGGTTTCCCCTTTCTCCCCAGGCCCGCTCTGCTGGGACCTGGAAAGATCCTTTTCTAGTACCAAAGTCTAGGGAGCCACAGTGGCCACACCCAGCGACTAGTTCAACGGGGAGGAATCTATTCACTGAAGCAGAACTGGAGGAAGAGGGCTCTTCCCTAAAAGTGATCTTTGAATCCTTTCACTTTTTTTTTTTTTTTTTTTTGAGTACCTATCCAGATTTGGATTTGGAATATTTATATTCCTTTATTTTTGTTTTTGTTTCATCAATCTCTGTCTTCTCTTTTGTGGAAGAAGAGAAGAAAGGGAAATGGCTAACTCCCTACCTCTGTGATGTTCCAGATGAAATTCTTTGGGGAAATGAAGACACAACCTTTTCAATCAATGGTTGTTTTTTTTTTCTCTAGGTATTCCCCTTCCTTCTGAATGTTTGTTGCATCTTCTTCAACCTCCTTCTCTTCTCACAACCCCTTAGCTGGGACCAGTTTTTTCTGGTTTTTTGGGGATTTTTTTTTTCCTCCTGAGGAAATAGGGGTGGGGTGGGGGTGACAGGAACAATTGGCACCTTAGAATACATCTCTCTCTGTTCTTAGGATCAAGAGAAATGCCACTAACTTAGTGCCAGAGACCAGGGCTGAGTCATGCTCCTAGACCCCTCCCCCTTGTACACCCACTTTCTGCAAACATTGGACCCCGAAAGAATATCCGTTTGCAAGAAATGCAGGACCTTGCCAACCAACGCATTGAGTGGATCAATGGTGGGGAGGGCCTTGAAACACTCAATGCAACCTACTGTGAAGGGGGAATCTGGAAACAGCTGAAGTCCGAGCGTTCTAAGATGCTAGAAAGGCTTTAAAGGCAAAACTTCCCTTGCTGGACCACGACTTGGAAGGCTTTCTTGGCCCGTGTCTTGCAAGCCCTGAAAGAATGGAGCCCCTGTTGGATTTTGAAACAGCGGGATCTAAAATTATCTGTCCTGGTCTGCGGGCCACGGCCAGCTCAATCGAGGAGACCGAGGAATTTACTGAGAACAATGGGACTCGGATGCCGAGCAGAATTGAGACACCCACCTGGCGTTGCTCTTCCTGCATCTGGTCCAGTGGCCTTCCAGGCACAGCCTGCGTGGCAGCATCTTTCCGTGTCTTTGAGCCGAGGGAGGCACAGGGGATGTTGGGTGGTCACTTTTACCCCTTCTACAGCAGCAGCAGCAGCTTGTGGAGGAAGGGAGTCATGGCTGTGTGTGTTTGTGAGTGTGTGTGTATGTGTATGTGTTGCTGCTTTTCTGAATTTCTCTTTGATGCTGGGGAGGGGCACTCGTTAGCACCCAGGACAATCTGTTCGGCCTTTCTTTTCTCCCCCTTTTTTCCTCCAAATAAATTCTTGGAATGTGTTTCCTATGCCTCCCTGCCCCCCCCCATCATGCTGGGGTTGATTTTTCCTTTTGCCCCATATCAGTATATTTGAATCATTGTGTCATTTGTTGGGGGTGGGGAGTGATTTAGCCGTGTGTGATCCTCCCCCTTGGCTCAGTCCCCCTGCCTCCCATTTCCCTCTCCCAGGTTCCTAACCGATTCTGGTATGCTTCAGAAAAAAATGCTATTAATGAATTGAAATAAATGGAAATTCTTCTATGGCATCCAAAGGCTTTGGCCCCTTCAAGGCTTGCTTTGTATGGAAATGGCTGACAAGAGAGCGTTGGACTGCTTCATTTAGCAATAGCGCTTAAGACTCCTATACCGCTTCACAGTGCTTTACTGCCCTAAGTTTATAGAGTCACCATGTTGCCCCCAACAATCGGGGTCCTCATTTTACTGACCTTGGAAGGAGGGAAGGCCGAGTCAATCTTGAGCCAGTCAGGATCAAACTGCTGGCAGTCAGCAGAGTTAGCTTGCAGTATTACTTCTGACCACTGCGATTGGCCCTTCCCCTCACAAGGTTTCCCTGGATGGCAGTCGGAAGTCCAGGACATCTAGAGCAAGAGTCCCCAACCTTGGCGACTTTAAGACTTGTGGATTTCAACTCCCAAAATCACCTAGCCAGCAAAGCTGGCTGAGGAATTCTGGGAGTTGAAGTCCACAAGTCTTAAAGTCGCCAAGGTGGGGACCCCTGCTCTAGAGAACAGTCCAATTAAGTATGCTATGTGTTTGACAAGCAGTGAACGACTGTTTCCCCTTTGTGTGCTTTACAAAATTCTGAGGTTGGGAGCTGGTGGAGGGAACAGGGAAAGAGGCTGGTTTAAGCCAAGGTTGTGTGGCTGCCTAAGTGACGAGGATATAAAGTTGTCCTCTCCATGCAAACAAAGCAGAAGCACAGCCTCCTTCCAAAAGGAGGAAAAAAATCAACTTCACTTATGTCAGGATTTGAAGTTCTGATGGTCATTACCCATCCACCCCTGCAGTCATGTAACCGAACTTCAGGTGCTCGGGGGTTAGGTTGCATTTTTACAGTCGTTTGCTGCATCTCGTGGCTTTTACAATGGCTTTGCCGAAAACTGGCACTTCTGCTTTTCAGCCAAACCGTGTTCATAGCAAATCATTGCTTCTCTTAATGACCATGGTTGCTTAGCAACTGCCACAAAAAAGGTAATCTCAAGTCGGTCATATGACCAAGCTGTTTTACTAAGACGGTAATAAACAGCCTCCATTACCGTCATAAGGTGAGAGCTACCTGCGTCTTGATTTAGGGACACCAGTGTGAAAGGTCTAATCAAAACAAAACATGCTTCAGGATGTCATATGCCCACAGCCTGATAAGTTCTGGCATTTTTTTTTAATTGCTATTTCTGTTTGGTTTTTTTTTTTTTTTTTCAAAAGCTTTTTCCTGAGGATAAAGAGCATTGCAGAAGTGCTCCCATTGCTGGCCCCAAATACACTTAGAATGATCGTGTTTGTTGACTAATAAGTTGATTGAGTTCATACAATATGCTAAAGTATAAGCTATTATTTATAAATCTCCACAACTAAATTCACAGATTGCTCAGGGCTGTAATGTGGTTTGAGGTTGCTCTGAATGAAACTGCGAACTGCCATAAAAAAGGTCATAAAATGTGTCTTGTCATGTGACCTGCTTTATGACTGTCATGGCTTAATGACCATAACAGACAGGCTCCATCTATGGTTATAAGATGAGGATTACCTGCAGGTGGTTTACTCATATGCTATACAGGTAGTCCTCAACTTACAAAGTTCATTCAGTGACCATTAAAGGTTACAAAGACATTGAAAAAAGTGACATTACTATTTTTCACACATTCATTGCAGCATCCCCCACAGTCACATGATCAAAATTCAGAAGCTTGGCAACTGACTCATATTTATGACAGTCATAATGTCCCAGGGTCATGTGATCACCTTTTGCAATCTTCTGACGAGCAAAGTCAATGGGGAAGCCAGATTCATTTTACATCTGTGTTATTAACAACTGCAGTGATTCACTTAACAATCATGGCAAGAAAGACAAAGTGGGGCAAAACTCAATTAACGACTGTCTCACTTAGCAACAGAAAAGTTGGGCTCAATTGTGATTGTAAATTGAAGAGTATTGGTACATATACTACAGTATGTCAGCCAGACAGCCATTATAATTCTGGTTACCTTCAGAGTGGCTGGGATTGAAATCCCGTTACCCATGGCTGGTAGAGCCAGCTGGGAATGACAAAAGAGTTTTTATTTTCAGGCTGAAGAGATACCAAGGAAGGAAAAGAAACTTGTTCACACAGCATGGATCTTCACCTTTGGTATCTGATGTGCGAAGGTATCATGGTAGCCCTGAGCCAAGCATGCGTAAATGGTTGAAAGTCGCTTCAGTATTCCTGGCTCAATCTGCCCTTAATTACTTTCTGATCCGTGACTCTTTTGAGTTTTCCACCTTAAAATGGAAAATAGTTCTCTGAGGCTGCCCTGACTTACACACCACTGTGGAGCTGCAGGTGGAAAGATGTTGCCAAGTGAGGAGAAATAATTCCACTTTCCTGCTGTAAACAGTTTAATTCGGGGCATCATAGAAGTTAGGGGGGCTTGGGATGTCGAATTCTGGAGAACTGGGCATGTCGAATTCTGGAGGACTGGGCATGTCGAATTCTGGTAGATTGGGCGTGTAATATTCAGGGGGGCTTGGGTAGTCTGGTACTGGAGGAATTGGGGCAGCCTCTTCTGATTTTTCTGAGCTTTCTGAAATTTCTGAACTGTCTTCATCATTATCTTTATTGTCGTCATCTTCATCTTCCGATTCAGTTTCTTCGGATGTCTTTTTACGACAGCAGTACCTGCAGTACAAAGGAATAGCAAGTGCATCCTTTAAACTGCTCCATTCTAGGCCATGAGTGAAATTGAACAGGGGAGGCACTGTCAGATTTGTGGACACCCAGTGCTACAGATAGTCCTTGGGTTATGACCACTGGTTCAGCAACCATTCAAAATTAAGACAGTGCTAAACAAGGAGGACTTACAAGTAGTCCCATGAAGTTGCGGTTATTGCAGTGTCCCCATGGTCAAAGATCATGATTCACCTTGCAATTACAACAGTTTGCACTGTCCTGCAGTTATGTAATTGCTATTTGTGACTTTCTCTGACAGCTTCCCTAAGCAAAGTCAATGGGGAAGCTGCCAAGAAGTCTTAAGTTGCTTCCAATTCCTGCCATTTTCTTCCTTTCCATGCTCTCTAGTGCCCACCCACAGCACCCACCCACTTACCTGTGGGACTCACTGACACTCCATAGTAATCTATACCCTTGCAATCATGTCAGGTCCTTGCTTAACAACCAGTGTGATCCTGGGCTTCTGAGGCTAAGCAGTGCAGTCAGGTGATGTCACACTTTGTGACTGCATTGCTTAGCGATGGAAATTCCAGCTCCAACTGCCATTGTAACCCAAGGACTACTTATATAAAATGGGCCTAAAATAAAATTGCTTTATCAACTTGTGGCACTATTCAGATTTCATCAGATATTTATTGAACCCATAGCTCATTCTCAAACATTGACTAGGCCAGCGGTTCTCAACCTGTGGGTTGCGACCCCATTTGGGGTCGAACGACCATTTCACGGGGGTCGCCAAACAACGCGATCCGCCATTTTTTCCGCCATTTCCCCCCCTTTTCCTTAGCTGTGCTACTCCCTCTTATTCTATTGGCTTTTGAAAGCCAATAGAATAGACTCTCTTGAACAGAGTCTAATTCTATTGGCTTTTGAAAGCCAATAGGAATTGTCCAGGGCTGTCTCTGCCCTGCTGAGCCCGCCAAAAGCCCCAGTCTGCAAATGGTGCTGCAAGGGGAACAGTCTGCAGAGCTTCCCTCCCTGTTGAGCAACTAAAAGGTAAGTAAAAGAGGGCCGGGGATGGGAGGTGGGAGGCCGGTGGGTGCAGGGAGGGTTGCTTGCGCGCGTGGGGCCTGGCAGGTGCCTTACCTGCCTTGGGCTGGGCCAGCTGGTGGCCCAGCCGGTGGTCGCCCTGCGCCGCCGCTGCCGCGGCCGCCCAGGACTGTCCGGGCCTGCCTGCCGCTGCCCCTTGCCGGCTATGCCTCAGCTGGCGCAGGGGGCAGCATCACGCATGCGCGCCGCGCAGGGGCACCGCCGTGCATGCGCGCCGCGTGCTTATGACCGGGATAAAAAGGTTGAGAACCACTGGACTAGGCAATACTCATGTCTCATTTCCCTAGTCTCAAAGCAATTGGTATTCTGCACGAGTTTCTTCCAACTTAGCACCTACCACTAAGTGAAACATTCCCAGCAGTTGGAGGATGTCAAGTTGCAATAAACCGATTTACCCACATACACAATACCTCCAATGATAAGTATGGGTGATTCCCCACCAAAATGGAGAATGGAGCCCAGATCTTGGTCTTGCACTTTAAGAAGGGTTCAAACCTCTGGGTTCAGAGAATGAAACAAAAGTTAAATTCTGCAAGGAAAAATGGAAGGAACTAGCTAAGTTTATCTTGAGATTTGGGGGTGTGGGGAGGAGGGGAGGGATGAAATAACAGGGCTCTGGAAATACTTGAAATCTATTATAGGGGGAATGAAAATGGAATACTAAAGCTGTAAGAAAGCAAATTCCTGAATGTAAAGGGAAATGGCAAGAATGATCAACAACTGAATCTATTTCCCAGTGAGATAGTGGGCATCTCTTTGCTGGATTGTCCAAGCAAACATCTGTTCAGGATGCATCGATTTAATACCTGTGCTGAGCAACAAGCTTGGGTTCAATACTAAATAATCCTCCTAATTCTGCCATTTCTGATTCTATAAATGCTAAGCAACTCACCACACCGCAACTCCCACTACCCCCAGCAAGACTGTAAGGGTTATCAACACAGCTGCAACAACATTGGGTCCTGCAGAAAAGGAAAAAGCCAAAACAGAAACCTTGCATCATTCATTTAATCTGTCTATGTAATAAATCTCTTTCTAGGACTATGGTTTTTGAAACTTTTCCAGTCAGAAACCTCACTGTAGCATGGCCAAAGTATTAACGTTACGCAGATCTGTAGCTTTTCTTTATGTATTAGAACATGGCAGATTTCTTTATGGGTGATCTATAATTCTGCAGGCACAGATTTCTTGGCAGGATTGTAGCCAGCTCGGGGGGAGGTTTAGGGTTTCTGCCCAACTCAGTTAAGGCAGAGGTCCCCAACCTTTTGAGCACAAGGGACCAATTCCATGGAGAGAGGTTTTTCCGGGGACTGGAAGGTGCGTGGTTTTGTGTGTTGCCTGCATGTTGCAGATGGGGCTTTGTTTGTTTGTGTAGCCCAGTTGCTGACATGCCGCGGCCCGGTTCTGGTGCACGGACCGGGGTTGGGGACCCCTGAGTTAAGGGAATCAGTGATTCTGAAAGGGGGGAAGGGAGCTTTCCGCACATAGCCAAAAGCAAATAATAATGGAGTGTATGTAACAGTAACAGAGTAACAGTAATAGAGTTGGAAGGACTTTGAAGGTCATATAGTCCAACCCCCTGCTCTAGCAGGAGACCTATACTATTTCTGATAAACAGCTGGCCAGTGGACAATTTGTCCCACTGGTTAATTGTTCTCACTCTTAGGAAGTTTCTCCTTAGTTTCAGATTGCTTCTCTCCTTGGTTTAATTTATTGCTTCTCTCCTTCGTTTCATTATTTTCAAGAATAATGGTTCAACATTATTCTTGAAAATAATGTTCCTGATGAGTGTTTGGCAACTTATTACTTGTGTGGGTTATTCTATTGTGAAAATGGCAATATTCATTGAGCAAGAAGGAACTTTTGGAGAAATAGGGACAAGTACTTGTTCTTGAATTGTTCTTGAACCAATTTTCATTCTTTACTTAGAGGCAAGCAAGTAAAAGGCAAAGAGCTAAGTTAAAACTCCCTTGATAAAAGGTCCAGAGTGAAACAATTGTATGTATCAGTGAGGGATGAAGGAGAAGCTTTGTTATAATTTTTATCCTATTCCATTAAGGAATATGTCTAGTTTTCCTCTCCATGTTATTGTTAGTCCCACAGCAATGTTGTGAAACACACGTATGCTGAAGAATGATCTACCAAGGCTGCCTAAATAGTTTAATAGCCTGATGTTTGATTCCAGGCCTACTTCATTCCCTGTGTCATCTCAAAAATGAAACATCTTAGGTTTTACCCTATAACCACAGAGGTCAAAAGCTGTGAGCTTTAAAGCAGCTTCTTATGAATCACAAGTAAGTTGTTAATCCCTCTTCACCACTAAGGGATTCTTAATTTATGGTCTTCTTAGATGTCCAACCCACCATTTTTGGATTTCAGCGTATTTTATATGTGCAGTTTGTTTCAATGGAGGCAAAGAGAGATGGAGAAGTTAAGGTGTATGGGAGAAAGATGGCAAAAGACAATCACCTGCACATATTCTGAGGTCATAGCAGGAAACTTTGAGAATTTGGCAGTTTCTGCATTGTACCACTTCGTAAGGTCGAAACCGCGATTGGCCTGTGGAAGTGATGGAGGAGATGCTGTTAGATCGACCCTCCTTATCCTGTGCAGCATAAACACCCATACTCTCAGTCAGACCTGCCCTATCTACAAGTGGAGAAAAAGTCGAGTTAGACAATAACATGAGTCACGCTTTAGTGCACATGAAAGGCACACCCGCCCTTTGCAAAGGGAAACAGTTATTATGATTTTTGAACCCCAGCATGAGACAGATCCTGGATGAACTATCGGGTTCAAACCATAGTTGGCATTCTTCCAGTCTTCATCAAAGCTTGTCCAGGTGACATACATGGACTGTAGGGGGTAGTGAGTCCAGAGGAAATTAATACAAGTGAGGTGTTTGCATGAAATTTAAATGTGGTTGTTGGTGGTGGGGGAACCTTAGTCTGCTATTATATCTGAATTAATCCACATCACATTCAAAGCTTATTATATTTTAGGCCTAGATTTAATCATATTTAGAATAGACTTATTGAAATCAATGGGGTTTTACTGTAATTACAGTATTGTAATTGCTGATTGCAGTGGACTTGCTCCAGGTCTGCACCCATTCATTCAGTGAATTTAAACAGCACATTACGCACTTTGCCTTTAGAAGTGCAGATAAAATTGACCTGGTCAGTCTAGAATTGTTGTCCTGTCCCCTTAATCCTTATCCCATTAATTTAAATTATTTTTTCAGTCCAAGGAGTACACCTCCCTTTCTCTATCGGTTTGTAGGCTAGAAGACCAAGTGGATGGTAACAAAAACCCTGAAGTGGGTGGGGAAGAAATTTCTGGCTCTTTGTCCCTCTTTTTTAAATGTTTTCTAGAAATTGAATTAGGTGCATTCCTTGAAGGATTCAGGCATCCATTTTGCTCAATTTTAAGGGGGAAAGAAAGCAAAGAAAAATGTGCTGCTATTATTTGCAGATTTGCTGACAAATGTTCAGCCCTAGAAACTGTGAATAAAGAGGTGGAGAACAGATGTAGACCTGCAGTGCCTGGCTTAAGAGCTCAGCCTATGATTCTATATAGACATCACTATATTTGTAACATTTCTCCGTATGTTTGGAATATTAACTCCCTTAATTCTCAGCTAGCCTTCTCCTACCAAGGATTGTCCAGTACTTCTGGAGATATTAAGTGGGGAAACACAGTTAGGTTTATTTCAAATTAGAATTCTATTTTTTCCTCCAAGCCCCAGGATGGGTAGGGTGAAACCATTTATAATGGGATTTCAGCCCCATCAGGATGGCTGCTGGAAAGACTGCTTTGCCCTGCTCTGCAGAGTAGAGAGTTCATTTTGCAGTTAGGAGGAACCAATGTACCCCACTGTTGCTAATAGACAAAGATTCACACACAGGATCATTGAAAACTTCTTTTGAAACAGGGTTTCTTGGACCAAACATGATTCTGGCCTGTTTAGACAGATGAACTTACCACAGGAAAAACTGCAGACTGTGAAGACATAAAACAGAGAAGGGATGAGCATCAGAGCATGAATTCCAGCAAATTTCTTTCACTCCTGGTCACAAATTCAGTATTCTGTCCCAAGTTATTTCCCACCCCATGTCTTAACTTGTCTCTATTGGCATGTTCATTGCTCTAAATCAATATTTCTCAACCTTGTCCACTTTAAGATGTATGAACTTTAACTCCCAAAATTCCTCAGTCAGCATGGCTAGCTGGGGAATTCTGGTAGTTGAAGTCCACACATCTTAAAATGGACAAGGTTGAGAAACACTGCTCTAAAGTCTGCTGCCAACTCTTCTAACCATCCCATACGCACATTTACATATGCAGCATTTATTTTAATTTTCCTGAACAAAATCGCTTTGTACTTATTGTTCAAGCTGAACTCTGGAAACAGGCTGTTTTACAAGTTATGTACAATGTATGTGGCTTCTTGATTCGGAGAAAGGAGTTATCAATGAAAAAATTAAATCAATATCCCTAAGGCAGGTATTGTTTCTTGATTCCTATTCATTTTTTCAGAAGAAGCCGTTTCAGTTCTGAAAGGACTGGTGAGGTAAAGTTGTATTTCTTTGGTTCTATCTTCTAATTTGATCTTTTCGGGTTTTTTTTAAATTAGCTTCATAAAAAACATTAGGTTCTTCTGTTCAATGGCTCAGTTTTTTAAGGGTTAATCAGTTCATTCCAATGAGAAAGAGAAAGAGAGAGAGAGAGAGAGAGAGGGAGAGGGAGGGAGGGAGGGAGGGAGAGAGAGAGAGAGAGAGAGAGAGAGAGAGAGAGACTGAAAGCTTGGAAGAATAAATGTCTGTTGCCAGTGACCAACTCAGACTGGATCTTGTAACACTACCCTTGACACATTCCTGAGTAGAAAACCAACACAACCACAGAATCAAAAGCAGTTCAGTTTATTGCTCAGTTTATTGTGTTGACCTTGGAGCCCTAGAGAATTCTGCCAGAACTGCAAACTATTATTTGTTTGCTTGCTTATATCCTGCTTTTATTTTTATAAATAATCCAAGGCAGCAAACATATCCAATATTCCTTCCTCATCCCATCTTCCCCACAATAACCCTGTGAGGTGGGTTGGGTTGAGAGAGAGTCACCCAACCAGTTTTTATGCCAAAGTAGGACACTAGCCTAATGCCTTAACCATTAAACCAAACTGGCTCTCGTCAAACTACCCTGGAATTTCAAAAGCAGTAATTACATCTGGACCAACTCTACTGAGTAACAAGGGCTTCAGTTGAGTATTCTACCAAGAACCAGAAACACAAATGTTTTAATTCCTCAAAACCTTTAAAAACATTTTTCCCCTCAGAGCTGAGTTGATTCAAAGAACTGGTATCATAAGGGATCTGTTTTATTCATCCTGGATTCCTGAAGGCTAGATTTTGTTACTTGACTAATGTATGATCTGTTCCTCACAAGAAGACAATTTTGTCTTAGAAGGATTAATGATCTGGCTCAGCATGTGACGGCTTTCTGAATGAACAGAAATGGAAGCATTTGTGAGAGGGAAACAGAAAAGGCACCTACTTTCCTTCACAAAAAGATCAGATGCTTCTTCCAAACGCTTGATAAAGTCTGCTTTTTCCAACTCTGCCTCCTTCATCAGGACTTCATGATCTTTTGGTAAAAAGAAAGGAGACAACAGAGGCCAAGACTTTTGAGATGTAGAGGAAGGAGCAGCTGCTTCAGGCTGTGTGAATGTAGTGCAAATAATGATTAAGTCAAGTATTGTACAAGAGATTATAAAAATTTCTTGAAAGGACAGTTGAATTTTTCACTAATAAATTACCTGTAGTAAGAGGTAATTAATGCACATTTTGTTTAGATTAACCAAGGGTAGGGGTTGGAATTTGATTTTGAAACTGGCTAGGGAATTCTGGGAGTTCAAATCCACAAAAGTTGCCAAGGTTAGAACAGGACTTTTCAACCTTTTCACTCATTGTACCACTTTTAGGATATGGCAATATTCGAGTACCACCAGTTGCCTAGCAAGCTGTCAAAAACTTGATGACCAAAAAAAAAAAAAAAAAAAAAACGGAAAAAAGTGATAAATTACCGATAGTCCTCAACTTACAACAGTTCACTTAGTGACTGTTTGAAGTTACAATGGCACTGAAAAAAGTGGCCCCCAAGTCATAGCCGAGCAAGACACCTGCCTGCCCGCCCGGCTGCGCTCTTCCTCCTTCTGAGGTTTTCATTGTTGTGAGCATTTCTGTTTAGGATTGGCAGCAGGGGTGGGGGGAGTGTTTGGTTTTTATTTCCCCCATCTGCTGGGTAGTTGCAGCAGGTTTTGGTCACTTGACATGACCCTGGGACACTGTGACCGTCATAAATATGAATCAGTTGCCAAGCATCTGAATGTAAATCACAAGATCCTGGAGATGCTGCAACATTCCAGCTGATCGGCTCTTCTTCTGGGCTCAGCAGAAGCACCAGGATCAGTGCCGAGCTCCAGCTGGAGCCTGGCACTGATCCTGGCGCTTCCACTGAGCCCTGACAGCCCCGAAGAAGCGCCGATCATCTGGAAAGCAGCACTGGTCCTGGTGCTTCTGCTGAGCCCTGACAGCCCTGCAACTGCAGCCATCTCTCACTCAGGCTTGTGAGGTACTGCCAATGGTTCAGCTCATTTCCCTCCCCCGCTACCACTTTTCTAGGATGGGTCGCGTACCACTTGCCAGGTGCCAATGTATCCCAGGTGGTACCCGTACCACTGGTTGAAAAGCCCTGATCTAGAACATCTAAAATTCTCACCTGGAATTCTTAATTGCATTGGTTGATATACTTAAAATCCTGCCCACCAAAAATTGAACACTATGAGTTTAATTAAGGGATGGATAATATTTAAGAGTTGGAAGCCACAATTAAGCCTCTTGACTTTTTGAAAGACCAAAAGGGGACATTCATGATGGCTCCACAATGGATAATCTCCATTCTGATGAGTAAAATATATAAACTTATTTTAGGGTGACATTTAACCGTGAGGATAGCTGTAGATCTCTCAGTGGCCACCTATTCCCATTCCTTTACAGGTAGTCCTCAAACTTACAACCATAATTGTGGATCCTGGAGTTACAATCATCAAAACAACATCATGCCAGTTGTTAAGCAAGTCACCACATGACAATGCCTGATATTACAATCTTTTTTTTGTGACTGTCATTAAGTAAGCATGGTGTTGTAAAGTGAATGCTAAAGTTGTTAGGTGAATGCTGTGGTTGTTAAGTAAAGCCATTGTCTGCAATGGATTTTTTTGCTGGAAACCAGAAGAAAATGCTGGTTTTTGACAAAAAACATAAATTATAGTCACATGACCTTGGGACATTACAAATGGCTATAAATGTGGGCCAGTTGCCGAACACCCAAAATGTGATTACATGATGGGGGAGGGGGGAACAGCCATTGTAACATAGAATGAGTGATCAGTTGAGGATTAGTTGTAAAACTACCTGAGTCTTGAAAACTAGGCCATTTTGTGTTTTAGTTGTGTTTTAGTTATATAACATGAGTCTCTTGGGGCCAGCTGCATGCAGGCTGAACTTCATACCCTTCTGATTGAAGAAAAATATTATGAATGTTATTAATTTTCTTGAAACAGAGACAAATGTCTTGACAATCAGAACATGTTAGGACAGTGTTTCTTGATCTTGGCAACTTTTAAGATTTTGGCTTGCTAGGGAATTCCGGGAGTTGAAGTCCACACATCTTAAAGATGCCATATTAGCATGAGATCACAAGCAATTTGTAGAAGGAAAAGGGTAATTCAGTTCCTACTTTTTTGACTTTTCTGTATAATTAGTTCAAGATGATGAAAGAGATTGCCAGCCTCCCGTTCCATATCTTCTCGTTCTGCGAACAGAGAGAGGCACACAAGATGTTGTTTGTGGAAACCTGATTTATCAGATCTTCCAAGCGTGCTCTTCTGCTCTGTCAAAACTGACCAAGACTAACTTAGAACTTCTACTATGTAATGGAGCCTTTTCCAACTTACCATTCTTAAAAAATACTAGGATTGCAATGCCTAGCATTCTCAGTCAAGATGGCCAAACACATTAGAGGATGCCAAACTGATGAAGGTCATTCAGCTTGTGTGTTATTCACTCATGCTAAACCCAGAACTAAACCAACACAAACATACTTTGCATTCACGTAGGACTATATATTTAATGGAGGGATCTTTTTCTGGTTGATTTGTCTGCAAAGGGTCCCTGTTTTCTCAACCAAGGCTGAGAGTTTTGGATATTTTCTATGACACGCCCAGATCAACTGAGGCACATGAGAAGCTGTGGGGTGCTTGTTTTGATTTTTTGCCACATTCAAAGAATGCATTTAGGAACATCTGGAATATGCATGCAGCAATATTCCTCAGGAAGCATCCCCAGGCTGAGTCCTTCATTGGAGTGAATTAGCAAATAGATTTTATGTTATGCTTTTAAAAATTGGAATATTTGTTTCTTTTTTTTTCAAGTCATGCACATTTTTAATGAAATCACCAATAACTTTCTCAAATTCAGGCTAGCATCTGTCTAGAATTCCTGATTGGCTGGTAATCCTCAACTTACATCCACAATTGAGCCCAACATTTCTGTTGTTAAGTGAGACATTTGTTAAATGAGTTCTGCCCCATTTAATGAACTTTCTTGCTTTAGTTGTTAAATGAATCGCTGCACTTCTTAAATTAGTAACATGGTTGTTAAGTGAATTTGGCTTCTCTATTGACCTTGTTTGTCAGAACATTGCAAAAGGAGATCACATGTGCCGGGGACTCTGCCACGGTCATAAATATGAATCAGTTGCCAAGGATCTGAATTTTGATCATGTGACATGGGGACGCTGCAACATTTATAAGTGTGAAAAATGGTCACAAATCACTTTTTTCAGTGCTGTTGTAACTTTGAATGGTCACTAAATGAACTGTTGTAAGTCGAGGACCAACTGTATAAACTAGCTTGCTATGATGTGGTAGTTTCTGCTGGACGATCTCTTTGATGTTTTTAGTATCTGTGCTGTATTATGTAATCTTGATTCTTTCTGTATGTAGATGTATAAAACGGATGTTTTATACATGATTGTTGAAAGTGGTTCTGGCCCATGTATTGTGTTCTGTTGATACATTCTGTCCAGATTTAGTAAAGACCTGACATCAATTTGTCTGCTCCAATGAAATCTGTAATCAACCCATTATGAACATTTAGAGGCAACCTAACATTTTCGTTAGATGGTAACTACTATGAACAGACTACATTTTGATGCACTTCTCCTAAACAACAGTAATCCAATGAGCTGAATTTGAGAAAAAGGCAGAACTGCTTTCTGATACATTAAGATGTTATTATTTGCTTACCTTCTGTTATCACTGATGTTTTAGAAGGCCTAAAAACACATTTTTAACTATAGCAGATTTTCTTCAACCTCAATTTCTATATTACAACTACTCAGTAAAATCATTACAATGTTCAAAGTAGTGAGGCAATTTTATCAGTTTGTGACCTGTAATAAAGGTTGATCGATCATTCATTCATTCATTCATTCATTCATTCATTCATATAATTAGTGCTCAGGTTTCTTTAAGAGCACTTATTTCTGCTTCTCAGGCTTTCTCTTAGAGCCTCTAGCACAAAACAGACATCAAAACCAGAGTTTGTACCTCAGCCTGGCACAGTCTGTGATTCAGAAATGGGTATTTGACACTCATCAGAAGTTCCTATCAGAGGCGACCCTGCTCAGCTCTTCCCTTAATTCTATATACCCAAATATCCGCTGGCATACGAAGCAAGCTCTTTGACATTTCCCAGGAAAAGTGTCCCCAGCCGATCAGAGGCTGCTGTATCCTGTTGCAGCAGCAAGTTAACATCGTAAATAAAATAGGCAGCAGCATCTGGCCAGCAACGGAGGCAGGTACCAGCCAGCTGCATGGGGACAGCCCATAGAAGCAATCCGAGCAGAGAGGCTGTAGCCATGGGAACCAGAAATCAAAAGTAGCACTTCCTGTGCCAAGGCGACATCAGCAATGGCTTATACAGCATTGAACATCACTTCCTGTTCTATTCCAAGCATCACAAATGCCTACACCTACTGCCTGGCGATTTGTTCTTTCTCCTTGGCAACGTTTCCCTGGGTCACGGAGGTAGACTTTCTCCTGTGATTGGGGACTTCAGGAAAGAGGTTGCCTTGGGACAGTTTACAGTCCTGTAAACTCTTGGCCATGTCATGGTGCTCCAGGTTCTGCTGGCTTTCTTCTTAGGGCTCTTATCCCTCCAGGGGGTGGCCAGCTGCCTTCAGTGTGACCCCCGTTTTTTAAAATGGGTGGTGTCTCTGCTGAAGGAAACCCTGCCAGATGACCTGCCAAACCGCAATTCCCTGATCACACGGCATATCCAAGCCTTGGCAGATTTGCACGGCACCTTCCTTCGGAGGAATTACGAGCGAATTTTAGGTGCGACCCTTTAGGGGTGGGAAGGGTTGAGATTAGGTCAGGATTACAGGGTGACATCTGTGAATGTCTTTTTGTAGATGTCCGAGGAGTGATGTTGATCAAATTACACATTATTAACCAGTTACAAACCATCAAGAGAACTCAGTGGAAAGGTGAGCAAGAAGAAACTTGGGTAGGGATTGCAACTGAGTGTGGATTGTGGGTACAATCTGCCTTCAAGAAATAATCCCCTGTTGATTATCTCTATACATGCAATTACTAAAGTGGACTGTTCTGCATAACCAGAGGTTGGAAACTCGTGGTGCTCCTTATTTATTTAATGGTAAACATACCTAATACTCCTTTCTTCTCCTATGAGGTAGGTTGGGCTGAAGGTGACTGGCTCAGTCATCCAGCCAGCTTTTGTGCCTGAGGCAGGATTAGAACTCATAGTCTCCTGATGATTGGTTCAAAGCCATCAGGCCCATTTTCATGCCTAAAGTGAGATTAGAACTCATCGTCCATATTGCTTCATTGCATCTTCTGGCAGCTACAAATCAACCTAGTCACTAGTGAGAGATGCTGGAAGGTTGAAATCACTAGGAAAATTCTTAATCTTGTCTTAAATCATGTGGCTTCAGTCATTGCCTCTGTTGAAAGAAAAATCTTCATCAAGGTCCAGTCCAAGCCGGGAATAAACAAAATGGAAACTGCTTTAGAAAGAAGGTTGCAGTTTATTGAAGAGGGGAGCCAGACACAAAGATGGCTCTGGGAAAGCTGACCACATGTAGCAGGGAGCGGTGGGTTTTTATAACTTCTGGGGCTTTTGTTTGGAGTTGTTCCTGGGGCAGGAGCACCAAGGACCCCACAGTCCAACTGTGTTGAGCTACAAATATTCTATTCTATGGGTGCTTTTGAATCTTTTCCAACCCAGTCTTATTCAGAATCCTCTTATCTTCCATTTTTCTCCTCTTCTAACCTTCCTCTTAGGAGTTTTTCTGTGGCAGCTCTCTATGTACCAGCTCCGCTTTTCCCTGAGAAAGAAGATTCACCAGATTCTGGAGAAATTTGCTGATCTTGGTACCAATCCTGAAGAGTGAAAAAGAAGAGGCAAAACTTCCAGCCCATCCTATCTCCATCATATATATGTGCACACACACACACACACACACACACACACACACACACACACACACACACCCCTTTGCAAATTTAATAACTCTATGATAGTGTTTTCCAACCTTGACACCTTTAAGAAGTATGGACTCCAATTCCCAGGATTCCCCAGCCAGTTTGGCTGGCTGGGAAATCCTGGGAGTTGGAGTCCACATATCTTAAAAGTGCCAAGGTTGGAAAACATTGCTTTATGAAAATCTATTTTTATAGTAAATACTCCAGGTTAAATGAGGTGGTGTGCAAATAAGGGGATCCAAAATAAGCATCTTAGCCATATTGGATTGGGGAAAAAAAGGTATCTCCAAATCTATAGTTAGGTAAAATTATCAGAGCATTTGCATGAAAGGAGAAGAGGGAAACCCAAGCAGAAGACAGCTCCATCCAAACCCTGATTTGCTTTTAAAGACAGATTGGAAAAGGTGCTTCTGCAGGTTGTGTATCCTTTTGAACCAGTCCTCCCTTCTCAGAGTTCCTTTACTATTATGGCAAGAAACTGGGGGGTATCTGCCAAGGGTCAATGGGTATATGTTGAAGAAGTTCAAATGATGCCTGCAACTATAGCTGCCATCTTGAATTTTACTCTTCTTTTGTGGCAGAAAGAAACATGGCTTTTTTCTAATGGAAATTGTGGAACTTTTTTATCAATAAAACAAGATTTATGTAGCGTTCCCCAGTGCCTTGGAGCCAGATGGTGGTGGTGGGGAAGAGTTGGATTGTCCAAAATCCAAAATATTCAATTTATCATTCAGTGCCCTTCCTTAGTACTCTAGCTTAGCTTTGCATTCACCCATCAGTTCAATATATATTTTATTTAGAAGATGCCAATATCAAAACTGTCCCTTCGAGGAAAACCTATAGCTATGAGACAGCCGAGGACCACTGCCTTAATACAGTATTGTTGAATTTCTTACTTGCTTAGCATTCTGTATTCCTGAGCATGTAACTCAACCATGCATTAGTTAGGAAAAAGTCTCTTAGAGTTTTCAGTCTCTAAAACAATCCTCTTTTCTTTTTCTTTGCACCTTCTAGCTTGTTCAGAGGACTGCAGTAAGTATCAGACAAATTTTGACCCTCACGTCTTCAGTTATTCATTACTTAGTTACACCAGTGTTTCCCAACCTTGGGCACTTGAAGCTGTGTGGACTTCAACTCCCAGAATTTCTCAGCCAGCCATGCTGTCCACACAAATGGCCACAGTTGGGAAACACTGATTTAAGACTATGCATGCTTTGAGGATTGCTTTTTTGAAGTCCAACTCTGACATTCTTTTTTTGCAGCAGTGATAGAAGGACCTATTCTGGACTGCTGGACATGTCTGCGTATCACCACACAGTGTTTTGATGGAGAAGTCTGCGGAGGTATGGATGGAGAAAGGGAAGGGTGATTTTTGCTTTATTCTGTGTCTCAACTCACTGCCTTTTGAAATTGTCTTCCCATCTCCAGATATGTTAGCATATTATTAGCCATAAATGTTAGCAAGATTCTTTAATCTGGTATGGCTTGTGCATGAACAGATTACTATCCATTCATGCATAATTAAGGAGAGGCCGCCACAGATACAAAATAAGAAGCCCCTTTTGCCAAAAACTGGAAGTTAGTGCAATTTTTGGCAAAACCATTGTAAAACGCAATCACATGACTATGGGATGGTGCAAATGCAGCTGGATTGCTGAGCACCCAAAGTTTGGTCATATGACTCGGGGGGGCTGTCAGAACTTGGAATCTGGGTTGTAAGTAGCAATAGCAATAGCACTTACTTATATACTACTTCATAGTACTTTATAGTACTCTCTAAGCCAGAGGTGTCAAACTCACCACGTCACGTGACGTGTCGTGACCAGTGGTGGGATTCAGCCAGTTCGTACCACTTTGGCAGAACCGATAGCTAATTTTTTGTTGCCCAGGCCCAGAATGGATTTCCAGAAGTAGCATCCACACAGAGAACCGGTTGTTCACATATTTGAATCCCACCACTGGTCATGACGTATCGCAATTTTTTTCCCATTGCCAGAGCTGGGGTAGGCGCGGTTTTGGCATGATGCATCCAGCCTGTGGGCCGGCAGTTTGACACCCCTGCTCTAAGCAGTTTACACTGTCGGTGTATCTCCTACAACAATCTGAAACCTCATTTTACCGATCTCAGAAGGATGGAAGGCTAGCCCTAAGATTGGTCCATCATAACTTCAAACTGTCGCAAAGTGACCAATTATAGGTTGGGAACTATCTGTATTCCTCTCTTCTTGCTCCCATTTAAAGATCCCTTTTAGGCAATTGGACCAATATACTGATGGGGCAGAAAGATATCCTATTCCAGCATTAAATTTTATGTGGGTTCATACAAGACTCTAAAACAAAACACCATTTTTGTGATGGTAAGTGCTTATGATTTGAAAATGAGCCCATCAAATTATAGTCTAATCGAGAAATCTTGGTTAAGCAACCCATATATTAACTTATTGTGAAGATTCCTTGCTTCCATGCTGAGCTTCTTGTTAACAAAAAGCTAAAAAAGATTTTTCTCTTCTTCAGTGGAAGACAGACATCTGGCAGAATACAATGAAATTGTTCTTTATGTTTTCCTTGTTTGTGAGTCTGTGATAACAACTTCGATCATACTTGTGTGAGTAAATGCCCCACCAAGTCCTATGAATTTTCCCAAATGATCAGGAATAAAATCATTAGATTAATTCTCCTTACTTTTATTCCTTAAAAAAAAAAAAATCAAAGGATGTTAGTGAAATGGATTTTCTTCCAAATCTGGCAATTATGCTTACCTCTTAAAGGATCTGGACACTCTTCCTATTGTATGCGTCTCTGGAAGAGTTTCTGTACAAGCACAGAATTAAAATTTATAAAATGTAAACCTTGATCTTTAAAACAAAAGTGTTCTGTTTCAGGAAAAGAGGCATTGAGACAAAGCAACGAGTTCCAACAGTCCCCTTTATTGCAACACCAACAGAACAGATTTTTAAATGGTGCGGGGGGGGGGGGGGCTTTTATAGCCCCCCTGCATAATACCTTGCTGGCCAATCATTGCAAAGGCTGGAAGCAGCTTTTCTTGTCCCAGGCATCCACATGGTCAGCCCGGGCCAATCGCTGCAGCCTGTGCCTGCTGGCCCAGGACATAACAAAAAGTATAAAAGCAAAAGTTCCAAAGCACATTTTCTCAATTTTGGCAGCATTAAGATGTATGGATTTCAGCTCCCAGAATTCCCTATGAATTTTGGGACTTGACATCCACACATCTTAAAGTTACTAAGGCTGAAAAACATTGTAGAAAAAAAATGGGAATGCCTTCATAGATATAACTATTTTGTCACTTTCCCTGATGTATATACTTATTTAATGCTTTTTGAAGACAACATTGATGGGCAAGATCATCCTGTGATATATGTAGGCAATATGAAAACACGGTAGAAAGAAGACAGAAATCTGAAAGGTTTGGACTGAACCTTTCTCCCTTTATTTTTTATTGGTCAAGAATTTATGTAGTTTATTTTATTTGGTTATACAGAGGGTTCTCAACTTATGATAATTGAGATCAGAATTCCTGTTGCTAAGTAAGGTGGCTGTTGAGTGAGGCATGCCTGATTTTACATCCTTTTTTAACCACA